GTCTTTGCTATGCATTTGGCACATCTGCTGCACGCTGCCAGTCAGTGTGGAAGCCATTTCTTGCCATGCATTTGGATGCCAGTTCTTGCCACGGAGTCTGCCAGCAGGTTCGACTGTGCAGCGAGCTGCAGCGGTTGCCTCTTCGACGTGATTCGCCAGCCATGTTGGCGTCAGCTGAGCCATGCCACCTCTTCAAACACGCCCAGCTGGCAAGCCATGAGCCAAAAACAACCGGCAGATACAGTAGTTTTGCAGCCTTGGGCTGTCAAAAATCGCTTAAGTTTCAAGATGTTCTTGTTTTGAATTCCTTGCCACAGAGTAAAGCAGTGAATAGAGAATATACAGACACAAGTTGACAAGCTGTTTTGACTTGCTTGTGGGCAGGCACCCTGCCTATTCGAGCGTTTTTGTCGTTCTCTCTCCAGCATTTGCACATTGCCTTGAAAAACAAGTTGTAACTTCTTTCCCCTCCAGGTGTCAACTTCTTCTGTAGCGAAACGATGCTAAAGGCATTGCCTCGCATCCTGCAAAGGCCGACCAGGCCGACCATGTCTTCTCTGTCCTTCCGACCGACAAGTCTGGACCAAAGGTCGATGAGATCTTACCGCAGATGGCGTTCTTGTGCGAGGTGAAACACCTAGGTTTGACCTGGGTATATAAGCTAATGTTTTGAATTCTTTTAGATACCGTTTTAAAGCACTGGACCGATTTTTAAGGGTTGTCACTCCGACTCAAGCTTAACTCTTCAGCATGCAAGAGCTTCTTTTCAGTATGGGATGCCGGATGCCAAATCATTTTCAATCATTTCGTTCCATCTGCTGGTTTGCTGCAGATTTCCTGCCAGTCAATGACTGTTCCTTGACCGACAGGAGCCTTGACAGTCCAATATTGGCCAACTTGCTTCCTGGGAAAACCGCGAAGAAAGCGGTCGAAGAAGGCGAATTCATCATGAAGTCTCTGCCCCACGGATCCCCGTCGGCGCACGTGACGACACCCAAAGCGAGCACTGTTGGGGTTATTTGAGTGATCTTCTTGCACAAGTCGAGTGTAAAGATCTTTCGTGCCAAAGGTATGCAGTAGGGAAAGTTCTTGCACAAGATCAACGCACTTTTTCCCTTGCAGCTGTACTGTGACGATATAATCCAATATTGAAAAGTCATCCCTTCTGCAGCCACTGTAGCCCTTTGTGTGCTCATGGCTAGAGGCAAGACACAATTGTGTGTTTGTAAGCACAAACGATCATTTCAAGCTGAAACTCTTTTGTCCAAAACATGGCCATCCCCTGCAGAAATTACAATGTGCTAAGACCATCAGTGGCTTCCAACGAGAAGCTTTGTCACAGTTGTCGCGGCAGCCATTGCAGCCTTTGGCTTTTGAGTCGCCTGTTTGAATTTGGTCTCGTTTTGAGTTCCTTGCCACGGTATGAAAGAGCGAATGCAGACACAAGCTGACAAGCTCTTTCTTGAGTAAGATTGCCAGAAGCCACGACCCAGTTCGATTGTGTCCATGCTGCCCCGTGCCTGCAAGGCACGCGCACCAGACAATTGTAAGACTGCCTTGCAACCACCGCAGCTTTTGTCAAAAAGGCTGCTAGAGAAAGGGCTTGGATCCCTTTTTAGTCTGTCATGTGGGTGATATGCTCAAAGCACTTTGTTCACAGAGCTGGCACAGACATGAGAGATTCACAGATTTCAAGGATAGATTCCAAGAGGCATGTCAGAACAGGGATTTGAATCCTTTCGCAGAATCTTGTCTTCCAGCATGCAGGGCAGGAAAGGATGCACTCAGTCCGCTCTATCTACGAGGCTGGCAAGCGCATGAACGAGTTTCAGATTCAATGAGAGATTCCGATGGTATCTTA